TGTTGAAGCAACACGAGGACCCTCTGATCTTCTGGCCAGATCTAGGTTCGTGCCACTATTCAAATGTTGTCCTGGAGTGGTACGAAGCCAACGGGGTCACTTTCGTACCCAAGGACATGAAACCCCCCCCCGCACCGGAACTAATAGTACGTTCAGACTACAGTGTTATAACATGTTATAGCGCTATCTTGATGGTGGTTTCTGTGTTGCAATTATTTGACAACCGTAATAACATGTTATAACTCTCCAGTCTGGACAGCGTTTAAGGCCCATCTAAAAATGCTGGGCTATTATGAAACAGGCACTACGGAAGCATCCCAGAGGGTGCAAACATTCATATCACGCGTTCTTATTGATTTCGTTCGGTAGCTTTGAACTAAAGTATCCTATCAAACGCATAATTGACTTGTTAACGCTGCAATCATGGATTTATTTAATGTTTTCTGCTCGATAGGCCCAAAATGGGTGATAAGACCGAAGTAGTTCTATACCCTATTTGATAATGTTTCCCAGATTTTATTATAACCAGAAGCCGCCATCTTGCATTTTAAAATGGCGTCGGACATCGATATCCGGTCTCTATACGTTACCACGATTCCAAAAATAACCATATTGAAGAGTATTTGATAATGTTTTCCAGATTTTAGGATAACAAGAAACCGCCATATTGGATTTCAATATTGCGTCGGACATCGATTTCCGGATTCGAGACGTAACCACGATTCTGAAAATACCCATATTGAAGGGTATTTGATAATGTTTTCCAGATTTTATTATAACCAGAAGCCGCCATCTTGGATTTCAAAATGGCGTCGGACATCGATATCCGGTCTCTATACGTCGCCACGATTCCAAAAATACCCATATTGAAGGGTATTTGATAATGTTTTCCAGATTTTAGGATAACCGGAAGCCGCCATCTTGGATTTCAAAATGGCGTCGGACATCGATTTCCGGTCTCTATACGTCACCACGATTCCAAAAATACCCATATTGAAGGATATTTGATAATGTTTTCTAGATTTTAGGATAACCAGAAGCCGCAAAAGCTGATTTTTAAATTACATAGGGTATATGCTTCAACTACGCTCACACGTTTCCACTATGTTGCACCACAAAAATACGTATGGTTATGTCACAATAGAAGCACGTTCAAACACTTGTCCCAAATCAAAATGAAGCACATATAATATTAGTTGCAATACCATGTACAAAAATGGTGTTTAACATTGTCCCCTGAGTAATAGCTCAATGAAAACAACAACGAAACTTGTCACGCAAGTAGAAGGAGCACTGTTGGGCACTTTCTGAAATATTTTAATAGTATAATTCCCTTGCAAACCCAAATAAATCTATCCACGTAAAAATAAATAAAATAAGAGTGATTTGTGGCAAAACCCGCCAGTATCGCACCCAACGTCAGTGCCTATACGTAAGCGTACTACAACGCGGCTTTCAAATAAAGGAATAACAAGTGTGATACTATCACTTCAGGCTAGAACTTTGGTTCTCTTACGCAATGGTTCTTTTTTTTTCCTTTGGTTTGTTTTTTCCGTCGATCTTGTTTTCCGTGCTGAGCACCAATGCTACCGACGTGCCAGGAAGGCAGCTCCCACACCTGGACCCTACCTATCGACCCATCAACTCATGAACCGGGGACCAACGGCTTTACTTCCCATCCGAAGGAAGGCGTGATCAGAGATGTTATGCCTCAGAACATCCCGGCGGCGCCGACTGGGATTGAACCCAGGCCTGCTGGGGTGAGAGGTAAATACGCAATGGTTCATCAGAGAGGCGAAGCTCAGTAATCCTCATCGCATGTTTGACAGATAAAATGAGGGGTTAGTGGATATTCCTATGTTTCGAGGAGTGAATCGATTAGTTTGGGACCGAATATAGTACCAGAGCTGAGCCAAAAAGTTGAGCTCGTTTCTTCGGGACCTTCTGGTCTTAGAGTTACCTCTATGGAATACTGCTTCCTTCGCAATCGAGTGCCGGAACGAAAACCAAGTTTTCTTCCTATTCCGTTTCCTATGTTCTTCCTTAATAAAGTTGGAGGAGCTAGTGAACATCAGATTCAGCTGTTGTCCGGTACGGTTGGACAGGATGTGTGGGATCAGGCCAAAGAGATGGCCGATGCTAATAGTAAGTATGATTCTATAACATTGCCCAGAAAACCATTCTCCAGAATTCCATTCCCCAGAATGAACCATTCGCCAGAAAAGATGATGAAACTAGTAATTTATCACTTTGTATTGGTCATTTGATATTATATTTCAGTTTTATATTACAGAGCTACCGATTACAAACTTATAACATAATTCCACACATTATTATCGTAAATGGTCATTACCCCGAATCCCTTGCGAAAAGCTATTTATTATATATTTTCCTTATATATTAAAAGAAGAGAATATTCCCTTCTTTATCGTTTATCCAAAGAATCAATTATTTCCTTCTGTTATATTTTCAAAGAAGGTAATATTCCCTTCTTTTTCATATATTTAACGAATCAATGATGTTTTTTTATTCAAAGAAGCGAGTATTCCCTTCTTTATCGTATATCCAAAGAATTAATTATTTCCTTTTCTTATATTTTCAAAGAAGGGAAACCCCCTTGATCCATTAACGTCTCCTAAAACCCCTTAACCCATTAATGGCGGTAAGCTCCAACTCGGATTAACTTTTAATACCGTCCCTGTTTGTATGATCTGAAAAATGTTTGCTCAGAATTATGTTGATTAACTCTGATGTCGACATCAAACCAGCCGGACATTCTTGATCGGGATTTAATCCGAGGATAATACCGGTTGGAGCTTACCACCATAAGAAGTTTTTCTTCAATCTAATAAATGACATACTTTTCTGGGGAATGGTTTTCAGGGAAATGTTATAGAATCGTAAGTATATCTATCAAGGTACATTCTTTCATTATTTAGTAACTTTTGATCCCCATTACAGCGAGCATTACAGAGGGCTTCAAACGATAGCATGATCCGGATCGAGTTCAGTGGGCAACGGAACGAAAAGGTCGCCGGACACGTCGAAAGTGTCCGAGATTGAAGTGTCTCTGATCGAGTTAGCCATGGATGCGAAGCAAGTTTTCGTCGATGCTAGATAAGTTTCTGCGATATGGAATACTGGAAAAGTTTCAAGACTGGCACGCCTACATCACGGAATGGTTGGTTCAAGGGGGGAAGCCGGCAGCAAAAGTCCGAAGAATTCCCATGTTGAGGATCACGAAGAAATAAACGTTCCTCATTATTGTTGTATTTAATAAAATATGATGGAAATATACGAAATCAACCATTTAAAATCGTTACACTTGTCTTCATTAATTAATCATTAAAATTTAACCAGTTTTGGGAAAACGCGTTTATTCATCCGATGAGTAACCAGTGTTTATGCATTTTATGAATATGTATGGGTTTCCTCGAAACTGGTTGAACTTTAAGCATTATAGAGATTTTCACGTCCGGTTGTATTGGTGCGATATGTGAGAGTGTGTTAGTGAATATGCGAGGAAAATACATAACAAATCGATGTCAAACTCATTTTGACAGATCTACTTTCATACATTTTTTGGGTTAGCCAGAGGAAAATAATAAATAACTTTACACGGTGGTGCTCCCGCTAGTGTGCGTGCGTTAAACGTCACTAATCTCTATGGCATACTTTTTTCTTAGCGTGTATTTAGGGCCCATGCATTAATTATGTCACGCCAAATCGAGCAAAAAATTTACCCCCCCCCCTTCGTGACGTTTTTCCTATACCTAATGCATTGCTTGTCACAAAATCTTAAAATTCCCCCTCCCCCCTTAGAGCGTGACATAATATATGCATCAACCCTTAGACGAAGTATTAAGTTAGAAAACTTTCAATATACTTCCCAACAAGCTGCTGTCATGTGTTACCTTTCAAAAAGTTCCGTGGTTGCTGTTTTAAGCTGTATCACATCAACATTTAATTTTTACTCTGCGTTAAATACATGTTTTCTTTGGTGCACCTTTTTAAATTTTGGGAAACTGTTACTGTGCTAACATTTGAAAACGGCACAAAAGCCATTTGTAAACAAATGGTTTGTGGGCCCTTTACTCACTACTTGAAGTACACCCACGCGACACAACAGCAACATCGGGTAGGGGAAATTTTCCCCTTCCTGACGATGCTGTTGGTTTGCGTGGGCGTTCTTCGGGTAGCGAGTAAAGGGCCCACAAACCATTTGTTTACAAATGGCTTTTGCGCCGTTTTCAAATGTTAGCACTGAATTTTATCAATTTACCCAGAATCTAGGTAGTTTTTACTCATCAGATCAAAAGTTATTTACTCAAATTTTGACAACTCCACACTTGACGCAAGAATGATTGGAGTCTACTCAGTCACTGGGTAGACTCAAAATAGCGTGTATAGAAGCACCAAAGCTTTTTGACGTTAAATCACAACTGCACCAACTAAATCGAAAAAGTGTGAGCAAGATGAAAACAAATTAGTGGAAAAACAATACATCCATTAATCACCGTGTTAGATTTATGACGAATTTGTTTTTAATTCAGCTTTAAACTGAATCGGGAATCAAGATTGGGTCTGCTTGTTGTTAAACGTCAAAAAGCTCTATTCTTCTGTTGTCAATGCTATTTTTTCTCTGAATTAGCAATATTATGATGCTATATTCCAATGTACTTCTATTCATACAGGTTTTATTTCATGCAATTTAAGGGTGTGTTCAAATTGAGAAATGGACACTAAAAAAATTACACATACAAAAACCCTCTGCCAACCGATTTTCATATAGAATTGATCCATGTTTGCCGAAATTTAATGGGTTGTATGTCAGAAATAAGCACGTTGGTATCTCAAGGTTTATTTAGTCAAATATACATAAAAATTAATTCGATCTTCTACAAAATTACTAATAAAATGAAATCCTGTTTACCACCATGCTCTTGCCCTCAGTAACACTAAATACTGTGCCAGAAGTTGGACGCATTTTATTTACTTACCAATTTATTTAAGAATTCCGCGGGTTTTAAAATTTCCTATCAATTTCTTCCTTGCTAGCAAAAACTGCGTTTTCCTTCAAATTGTTAGGATTCCAAGTAAACAGAAACGTAAATCTGCAGAATTTCCAATCGTTGTTCTTCCGCAAAAATTTCCAATTGTTGTTTTTCAATTCATGTAATCTTCCAAAATAATGTTGTTGGGTTATTCCATTTCACCTTTTGAGAGATTTTGTTTTGTTTATTCTTTTGCACTATCTTGAAGCATTGATGGTAATTCATACATTGCACGTTAAAATCATTCACTCAATAGCTTCCAAGCTTTTTAAATTACCGTCGTACTTAATCATCATTGGCTTATGTTCGCTACCTTACAAATTCATTTCTTCTTACACCATCACACAATCAAAAACAACTCAAGCACATTTACACCTTTCTCTCCAAACTGCGAGTTTTCCTCTTCAAAAAGCTAGTAAAATAATTCAAAGGTGAACGTATCGTCACCTTCCTCCAATGGACATTTTTAAATTATTTTCTAGCTTGCCACACTATTATTAAACCAAATACTTGCACTGCAATTTGATTTAGAATACAATGATCAATTCCATATTTGTATGCGCACTTATTTTGTTTCCCTTATTTAGCAGATATTTAGTATATTTTTTAAATGTTTTACTTTTTTCAATTTCTACCATAAACACAATACTATTAAACACGAACACTATAATATTTCTCGCAGTCAAATTTCGTTTTCACAAACACATCCACAAATATTTACTACTTCATCCTCTTTTTCGGTGCATGCTGCTGCTATAGATGGGGTTGTTGTTGTAGCTCTTGTATTTTGAGGGATCACTTAACTGAATGCAACCTTACTTTTCTTCCAATTTTCTCTGGTAACGTGAAGTCCAACCACTATTTTCATGTTTAAAAATAATCCACATATCCAAAAGCATAGCATAATCAGTTCACATTTCTTTCGTTTGCATTTTGAGTTCTACAAAATAATCATTTGATCCGCAGAGCATAGGAAATCGGAAAAGTTTTATGTTATGAAAAAACATCAATTATTATTTCAAACCCAACACTCAAAGTGACGCGTTAAACTGCGTTGTAACAAAAATGGCTACACAGAACAAGCTGTCTCTCTTGTCTCAATGCTTTATGCTCAATTCACGGCTGCATTGGTGTCGTAGAACGTATACATTCATATTGCCTCTCAAACTACCTCTGGTCTGTGCTTGCTTGTATAGCCATTCATGCTAAATGGAATATTGAACGAAATTTTGAGTAGACATTCCACGCAGTGCTGCGAGCGCGAAGAAAAATGAGAAAAGGGCAATGGAAAACTATGAATGTGTATCATATATCCCTGGTTCGACAGGGGAGTTAGAACACGCATTACAATAATCATTATTATTTAAACATCATGAAATATAAATGTTAAAGGGGAAATTACGGCTTCTGCTTTTATTTATTTACTATCGTCAGGGGGGTAACTTAAGTTTTTTCAAAATGTTGCTCTGGAATATGGTGCGCTTTCATGCAAAAAATCAGTGCTCAAGGACTTAATTTACCCGAAAACGAAACCCACAATACTGCGTCAGCGTCAGCTTTAAATTTGAATCTGTTCAAAATTCACGGACTGACGCAGCAACGATGTGAAGTGGCATAAGTACTGTGTCACCGTCAGCGTTGACGAAAGGGTTCGTCCGTCAAATGACAGGTGTAACGCATGTCAAGTTGCTTTTCCACCGACATCTCTACACGGCGTTTCGCGAAAACCCATTAATGGGTATAAAAATACCCATTTCCGCTAAAAGTGCCCCTCCTCATTTAATGGGTAAACTATGGTTTACTCATAAATGGGTAAATGGGTGGTCTGTCAATAAATGGGTGTTTTTTCACCCATTATCTTAAATTGTGTTTATCGTAAAATGTGTGAAAAAATACCCATTTTTACAAATAAAGGATGCAAGCGCTCGTTGATGTAAAAACTTTCTAATACATTGAAAACAAATGCAAGTGTTCCGCTCAAATTTTACACGAAATATTAAAATACCATATTGGATAATTTGTATTGACTTATCCGTAAGCCTCTTCAATGTTTCAGATTCTAACATTTTCCGGAGATCGTCTATTTTCGCTAAATATGTTTGCATTCCGGAAATGAGACGATGAAATTTCGAAGTGTTTTTTCACCCATTAGTGGGTATAAAATATACCCATTATTCAACCGTGAACTGATTCTTTAAATGGGTATTTTTTCACCCATTTTATGATTTCAAAATTCCCCCATTTTTTCACAGCTGCATACATGGTTTGAAAATAGGTTTTCACAAAACACCGTGTCTCCATTTTGATCAGATTCTGACCATGGTGGGTATATAAATGGAGGTCGCGGGGGGGAAAAGTGCGGTTTTAGAGCAAATTGTAAACAAACTCGGTCGCTGTCCCATACAAAAATCCAACATGGCTGAATCATGAATTTGACACATTAGAACACCTATATGTAGCCACCTTGATTCTGACGGCGGCGCACATGCTATTTCAAAACTCCCCAAATTTGGGTAGAATCCACCTAGATCGGTCAAAATTGAACCTACCAAAGAATGGGTAAACTTTTTTTTTTTTTTTTAATAATTCGTTTATTTTTCCAGGCTCATTTGCTGTAGCTTTGCGGACCCGATATTCATTGTTTAGATAACAAAATTACTTAAAACTAACGTTAGTAAAGCGGGGGACGATTACTCGCGGCTATCTCGAGGTTAGGGGTAACAAATTGTACCAAATGGATGGCAGGGTAGGGATTGTGAACACAAGGTTTGGAGAGCAATGTGCTCTTGATTTCGAACTAGGCGACACTCTGATGAAAAAGACAAACATGGGGGTACACCGATGGGTAGCTAACAACTTGGGAGAACACAAGATGACACTAACTTCTAAATCCTCAAATCTATCCGCTTTAAAAACACATAAATTAAATTCAAATAGTCAAGGTCTCGGCTCGCCAAGACATCTCTAACGGGTATCGCGGGTTGCTATACGCACATAAATTGCTGCCTGAGAGCCCAATTCGATAGAAGTGCGAGTCTAACGAGCAGTGATTGGACATAAGCCTTGATATAACGCGTATAAAGTCGCGGCTCATGTCCAACCCTTTGAACCATGGTTTGTTCGACACCTGTGGGAGAGTAGAATGTAACCATCTTCCCAATTCACCATCATTCCATTTTTGTTGCCAACTGATAAGGACTTGCTGGCGAGCAATGGAGAAAAATTCGTTAAAGGCAATTTGTCGCTCAAAAATATCGCCTTCCATAGCGCCCACCTTAACCAATGAGTCCGCTTTCTCATTACCCGGAATTGAGCAATGAGATGGGACCCAAGCTAAGGTGATAGTATAGGAGCAGTTAGATAAAGCACTCAGTTTAGTTCGTATTTCAGGCAGGAAATACGAGGAGTGCTTCATCGGCCTCATTGAACGAATAGCCTCCAATGAGCTAAGACTATCCGTAAAATGAAATAATGGTCAGAAGGTAGTGAGGCAATTCGCTCTACTGCGTAAAATATAGCTGCGAATTCCGCAACGTACACGGAGCATGATTTCTGCAGTTTATAGGAGGCGCTATGAAATTGATTAAATACACCAAATCCAGTGGAAGCATTTATGGTTGACCCATCTGTGAAAAATCTTTTATCGTTACTTACATGGTGGTACTTGATTGCAAAAATTGAGGGAACAACCATTGACCGATGGTGATCTGGTATTCCATGGATTTCTTGCATCATGGTCAGATCAAAATTTACAGAGGAACTATAGAAGGCTTGAAAGCAATCACGATTGGAGATTAATGAAGAAGGACCAACCTTCAGCGTCATGTACTCATAGTACAAACTCATGAATCTTGTTTGAGGATTTTGGTCGAGCAGCTTCTCAAAGTGTTCTATTACCAAAGGATTCAATACTGTACTCTAAAACCGAAAGGATGGTTGTTCGGTTGTTCGGGACTTAAACATGAACCTTGGGGTAAGCCCATGTAGCTAATTCTAGAAGTTGTCAGTTGACCTAGATTGAAGGTCATTTGTTTCTCTGACAGCAAATTATACAAGAAATTATTCAAAATACCGGGTAATCCACTACTGTGCAAATTGTCTGACAGTATGTCTATGGAAACCGAATCAAATGCGCCCGTTATATCCAAAAATACTGAAGCCAATTGCTCCTTGTGCGTAAAGGCCAGTTGAATATCAGATGAAAGCATCGCTAGACAATCGTTTGTTCCTTTACTCTTTCGAAAACCAAATTGCGTATTTGAAAGTAGATTGTTTGATTCAACCCAATGGTCAAGTCTTAATAGGATCATTTTTTCTAATAATTTCTTCAGGCATGATAACATAGAGATCGGACGGTAAGAATTGTGATCAGACGCTGGTTTCCCAGGCTTTTGAATAGCTATTACTTTAACCTGTCGCCATGCTGGTGGAACTATATTGAATTCCATAAATGAATTATATAGGTTAAGTAATCGTCTTTTAGCGATATCGGGGAGGTTTTTCAGAAGGTCGAATTTGATCATATCGCTTCCCGGAGCAGAGTTATTCGATGAAAGAAGTGCCATTGAAAATTCCAGTATTGTGAATGGTTCATCCAGAGAACCGTTACTTCGGGCTGTATCCCGTAAAGTTGGTTGTGCTGGAACAGAATCTGGACAAACCTTTTTAGCGAAGTCGAATATCCATTGTGAGGAGTATTCTTCACTCTCATTGGAAGATGAGCGGGTTCGCATATAGCGAGCCTTTTTCCAAAGCGTTGTCATCGAGGTTTCTCTAGAAAGTCCCTCGATAAAAGTACGCCAGTAATTTAGTTTCTTTGCTTTTAGTAAGTTTTTAAGCTTTTTTTAAAACTTTAGATATTTTTTCAAAAAGCTCAGATCTTTCATGTCTACGATAATCTTTAAGGGGAAGCTCACCGCTCCGAAAAAAATAATTACGTTTTGATTTTTCTAAAAATATTGGATATCAAAATTTTAAGAAAATCACATATTTTTTAATTTTTCAAAGAAAATTAACGTTCAAAAACATTTTTTATAAGTCATTATGGCATAAAGTTGGACTCAAAAAACCACAAAACATCGACTTTTCGGTTTTGCTGAGAGTCCAATTTTTTTTTTATGATGAGATAGAAAAAAAATTTTACATGTAATTTTTGACAAAAATCTAAGGAACAAACTGATTTTCGTTGATGTTTGATATTTTTTCCCAATATTTTTAAAGAAATAAAAATGTACCGAAAATATTTTTTTTATTTTCGGGCCGGTAAGCTTCCCCTTAAAGGCATCGGATTTCTCAAGATACAACTTTGTGCATTCGTCATCCCATCCAGTGGTGGCGGGTCTTCTTTTGAGGGATGCACTTGGAACACGTCGTTTCTTTTGATTGAAATAAAAATTGGTAAGTGATCACTACCATGGGGATCACTGATAACCTTCCACAGACAATCTAATGATAGTGAGTTAGAGCACAAAAATATGTCAAGACGGCTCTCTCGAGCAGGAAGGTTTGCTATACGTGTTGCTTCACCAGTGTTCAAGATAGTCAAGTTGAAATCGTCGCACAAATCATAGAAAATACCCGCTCTATTGTCATCGTATGATTCGCCCCAACCAGTACCGTGTGAGTTCATATCGCCCAGTATTAGAACTGGAGATGGAAGGATATTAACTGAACTCCAAAGCTGACGGCGGTTTATGGAAGTCCTTGGAGGGACATATACAGAAGCTATGCAAAGATCTTTGTTCTTCACATTTATTTAGCAAGCGACAATTTCAATGCCTGAAATTATTGGGATTGAGATTTTATAGAAGGAGTAGCACTTTTTGATCCCCAAAAGTACGCCACCATATGAATCATCTCGGTCCAGGCGGATAATGTTAAAATCGTGGAAGTTTAGTTCATCTTCAGAAGAAAGCCAAGTTTCACATATTGCAAATATATCACAATCAGAATTGTGAATCAAATACTTGAACGAGTCTAATTTAGGTATTAAACTACGACAGTTCCATTGTAATAAAGTGATCATATCTTGATCCTCACTCGACGAATTATCCATCGAAAGATATGAATTCACTAATGAGGGGCCATGATACAGTCAATTGCTTGAAGTAGTTTCCGACTATAGGAACAAGCAGGTCAATAAGCCCTCGAAGTGGCGATTCGTCGGGAAAGCCGAGGGCATTCAAAATATTATCCACAATGTCCTTAAATTTAATCTTTCCTCGCTTGGACGGGAGAGTTTTCTTTGAATTGCGAGTAGACGTGGTGTTTA